ATATCAACTATTATATATTAATGTAAATATATGTAAATATGTATAAATATGAATGTAAATAAAAAAACCTACTTGCAGCACCATAATCTTTACACATTAAAACTAATTCAGGAGCTCTATACCATCTTGTAACAACATATTCAGTCATTTCACTATTATTATCAAATCCTCTTGCTAATCCCAAATCACAAATCTTTACATCACAATTTTCATTTACTAAAATGTTACTTGGTTTTAAATCTCTATGAAGAACATTTGAAGTATGAATATATTTTAATCCTCTAAGGATTTGATAAACAAAGTATTGAATATGATCACTTGATAATACTTGTTTAGATTTAATTACTTGATATAAATCTGTATCCATCAATTCATTAACAATATAACTTTATATTGAATTGTATTAAGGAATGTTGTACATTATTATTATTATATTGAATAAAGTATTAATTATATGTTATTATTATTATATTGTATGAAATCATTCAATCATCATCATCAATATTCAATTTAATACAAAAAGAGTAATAATAATACTTACACATCAGAGAAGGTATTCTTATCAGGAATTGTCATAATATCCTTAACAGAAATAATATTTGAATGACGGAAAGTTCTCAATAATTCAATTTCTCTTAAAATTCTCTTTCCATCTACCAAATCTTGAAACAATTTTGGTACTTTTTTAATAGCAACCTTTTCATTAGTCTTTTTATCAATACCAGAGCATACAAAACCATAGGCACCATAACCGATTGGTTTAATAATTGAATAACTTTCATCAACCTCAAATACTGTTCCATCTACAGTATAGACTTTCTTCTTACTTTGACTCATTTTTTTTTAAGGAGAGAGTTCTTGTAGTTGTTGCTGTTGAGGGTAATGGTCGATGAATGAAAAACTAAATTGTAGTTTGTTGTTGCATCATTTTTGATGTCGTGTAACAACCTCTGACCAAGGCAGCTAATTAATACAAACACCTACCACACCACCACAACCACACGCAGTAACCACAAACAAACAAGGCTTTGAATACAAACAAGGCTTGGTTGTACTTATTAGAGTCATGTTGATGTTTTAAATTACAGTTAAAATTCAGTATGAATCTAATATACATTGCATCTCTCTTTCAATGTAAATCATCATTATCCAATAAAATAATATATATTTATATCATCATTGTAAAGAATTAAAGAGAGAGATGAACATTGAAATTTGTTCTTTCAATGAAGAACAACTTTTCAATGAAACTGAAGAGTTGTTAGCTAATTTAATTAAAAGATATCAATTATCATTTTCACATAACACAATTTTACTAAAATGAACAATAAACTGTCAAATTTCATTAATATTTATAAATTACCTCTTCACAAACATTCAAAAAAAAAAGA